TTATTTTCTCTGTAAGAAGATGCAATGTAAGGATCAAATTAATACAATTAATATCTGATCCTTTAATAAATGAACAGCTTCTCCTTTTACCCCCTGAGGACCTGAAAATTAAAACCCCCATATATTGCACTCCATAGTGATAGATTAGGCCCAAGATGTTACTCTGATCCAAAAAAAAAAAAGGGCATGCCAGTCAAACCCGAGTCTCATTAGAGACTCATTGTGACTGTCCTCCTGGTACACTATGCATAATTATAACTACCATCAGAGACACCTCGACCTCTCACTCCTGACTGCTCACAATTTAACAAGACTGTCAGGACTACAAAAATAAGATGGATCCCATTTGTATCTCCAAAGTCATAGACAAATGTCACCTTGCATGGGAACAAGGACTATAAGACTCCAGAGAGCACACAGTGAGTCTAAATATTTAGATATTGCCATGTTCTCCCACTGATGACTTCAGGTGTAAATGGAAAGAGGTTTCCTTAACAAGAAAACAAAACAGCACCAAACTGGCCTATGCATTTGAGACAGAAATAGTGAGTAAACTCCATTCTAAGTGATTGCTTTAAACATATTGCCACAGTGACCATCCCTCTCTCTTACATGCTACTCCTCTGCTAAACAAAACAAATGTGTACTGCCAAATCACAACACATGACTCTACATCACTATTGGCTAACTCTCCACCAAGTATCAGTAACCTAGTAATTGTCAATCTGAGGACCCAAATGTCAATCTTGCCTTAGCCAGTGGTAGTGATATAGTGAAAAGAGTACACCTAGGAAACCTGGGTTCTGGACCCAGTTCAGCTCCAACCTCTTGGGTAACCTCAGGAAAGCCTCTCCCTGCCATCTCAGTGTATGTCTTCACATCTGACAAAGGGAAGAACTGAACTGGACAACTTTCACACTCTTTTTCTGGTTCAACTACTCAAAGACTTCACAATTAGCACAGGAACAATGGCCCAAGCATGAAAGTATAAAGAAAATAAGCTCAGCTGTCAGCTCCATCATGGGGACTCCCATCATTTATGTTGTATCAACATTTTGTTATAAGTACTCTGCCAATCCCGAATTAGCAGTGATCTATAACTATTTCTTCTCCATGGAATGGATTAATAACCTCAGGGTAGCAGAAAGCATAGCAAGTTCTGGTAAACTAAATTCTAGCCTTGGACTCCTTTTTAATAAAATTTCTCTTGCCTCTCCTGGTCTATCTTTAAAAGCTTAGACAGAATAAGGTGAGCAAAGCTGGAAACAGAGGCCTAATTTTTATCATATAGAAGTGTAGAAGGTAATTTGTAGGAATAGTTTATGAAAAGGATAACCATTTTGAAATTAATTTCAAGGAGGAATCATAGAATAATAAAACAATGGAATTAAAAAGGACTTTTCAAGAAAAGTCCTTGAAAATCAGCTCAGAGTTCTAGATACTCTTTTACTACCTCCATCATACTTTAATAAGCTACTTTATTTTGGATATTCTACCAGTCAATGAAATGGCACCAATACCAGTTCTATGTACCTCAGAGAGTTACAGGAAAATTCTCTTCTGAAATTAAAAGAATGAAATGAAAGTGCTCAAGGAATTAGACAGGATTGTATCAATATAAAGGGATTCAACTGAAAGCATCATCTTCACCTGGGACCTGATAAATTCACTTTTCAAAAATCTAACAATATTTTTAAAAGGTATTTCAGAGATTTAAAAAAAAAAATTCAATTCTAGCTAGGTGTGGTGACACAGTCTATACTCCCAGAGGCTCAGAAGACTAAGACAGGAGGATTGCAAGCGCAAGGCCAACCTTGGAAGCTTAGCAAGGACCTCAGCAACATAGTGAGACCCTGTCTTAAAATAAAAAATAAAAAGACTAAAGAATGTAGCTCAATGGTAAAGTGTCCTGGGTCCAACAGACATTACAAAAAAAGAAAAGAATAAAGAAAATTGTCCATCCTAGGCCATAAGACAACTCCAAGTTTACAAACTTGCAAACATTACAAATCACTGTAGATTAGTATCTATTATAATGATGTAGTTTTTAAAAATCTCCAAAATTCAATCAACCAAACTATTAAAAGAAACAGTAAAAAAAGAGTGGGAAGAGAGAGAGTAATTGAGATTCTAATTCCTAGAGTGATTGAAGTATAGGAAAACTCACAAACTTTACTATCTACCAAGAACAAAAGAAGAAATATTAAATTTTTGATGGTATAACAGTATATAAGACTTTGGTTTTGTTTTGTCTTGTTGCTTTTATGTTGCTGTTCTTTAAAAGCAAAGAAAGAACCCAGATTTCAGGATAAATCATATTAAATGGTGGTGCAGAAGAATATTGCTCTTTAAAGAATATGCATGTTTTCCTCATCAGTACAGAATAGAGGAATTGATGGAACAAAATCATAAATACAAACCAAAATAATTTCACAGAAAATGATACTGACAACTGACACTATAAAATCTGTAAGAAGATAAAACAAAAATAGCCACAGATACAGACAGACAGGTAAGTGAACAAGCTCACAGTATTAGACACAGAAAGGCATTTGTAAATGTTGAAGCATTTGAAGACAGCTGAGGAAACACAAATCTTTACAAAAATTAATGAAAAGTAGAGAACAATGGAAATAAAATAAAAGAATCTAAGGTGTAAAGAGCTACTAACTGGGAAAAAGCATACCCCACTTTTAAGTGTACCAAAGCCCTTTAGAAAAAGGTTATTAGCAGAATATCTTATAAAAGAAAATTACAACATATAGGTATCACATAAATATAAGTTGATGTGGAAAATGTGGGTACTTTTATACTTTCACAGTTAGAATTTAAGAAGTAGAAAGCAGACCCCAAAGGTTACAGGCATAATATCAAGGCGAGAAATGTAATTGGTACTGTGAAGGGAGCAGTGGTTAATCAACTGCTGGACTGCAAAGCTCCAAGAAAGGACAGAGTAAGATAAAAGGAAATGCAAGTCGTAGGTTGAAGCTGCTCACAGGAAGATACAGATCACAGCTCCATTTCAAAAATTTACCAGCCGCGAATGACAGAGACATCACCTCCCTTCATTAAGCTTCCATTTCTTTATGGGAAAAACAGGCTTCGTAGGGTTAGGATGAAAAGGCAATAACATAATCATGGAAGAGCCTAGTGCCTGGTATATACTACATGTTATAAAGGTGACAGAATAAAAGTAGGTGTGATAACAAAAGTCAAAGAAATGTGACAGTCACTGCAAGACATGGTATTCAGAATAAAGTCTAAAGGAGCATGGTATGTGTCTCTCATCTTCTTATCTCATACATGTGTATGTATTGGCCAACTTAATACAGAACCTGTAGTGCATAGCCTAACTCTCAGGCATGACATAACTATCATACCTGCTATGACTTCTTCACATTGCCTCCAACTTACTCTTTAACTGACCATGTCTGTATTCCTATTAGAAGGAAGTCCTTTTGAGTTATCTCCAAAGTTAGGAGACAAAGTAGCAATGTCAAGGAGTAATTAGAATAGGAAAATGTTGAGAAAACAAATGAGGAAGCCAACACATGGCTCCTCCTGTCCCCGTGAGAGCAATCCTCTTCCAGATCCCATTTCCAAGCCCCACAATCACTAAAGAATGATGAGTCAAAGAAAACCAATTCCACTAAGACCCTGATTAGTTGCAAAAAAAAAAAAAAAAATGCAGTCTCCTTCAAGGGCAATAAAACTTCAAGCACTGGTATGGAGAACAGAAGAGTGCTGTAGGCTTCATTTGCTGTTTTTCCAGAGCAAGTCTCTAAAGGTCTGGTCACCTTTTCTGGGGAAAGGACATCCAAAGATCCATAGCCACAGCTTCAGCCAAGCTGATGTATGACCCTCCCTACACTCTTCCTAGGCATTTGGCCACCTCACACAAGCTAGACGTCTAGACATCTCAACCCGGCTTCTGACATCAGTCCTAAAACACTAACAGACTAGCAAAGTATTTACTGGGAGTCGGAGAGAAATAGGAAGAAAAGAGAAAGACTAAACATTAACGCAGAACATGGAAAAGTCTTGGGAAATATTTCTAAACCAAACTTGCCAAAATGTTATCCAAGAAGTAATGGAAAAAATCATGGAAAGGCTAAGATAATCTTTTTAAAAGGTGAGATGGGGTAGAAAATAGGGACAGAGCAGCTGACTCTCCTTCCACCACCTCTTCTTTCTCAGTTTCTAGAAACATAGCATCCTTCTGTATATTAGTTAAAAATTATGGTTTCATAGGTTTGAATGAGCTGCTGATATTGACTGGCAAGAATATGGTACTACTTCAACCAAGAAGTACAGCAGCATTTGCACTGCCTGTACAGTTTAACACAAGAGTGTGTGTACCCACACATGTGATGCTCACTTCAGGCAGACCTTCACACCCCACTCAGTGTAAACTGAAGGTATGATTATTAAAAACCCCTGAATCTAAGGCTTCAGTCAGAATTGCCTGTGAGCTTTAGCAAGTGAAAACCTCCCAGAGCTCTGAAGACAACTTCATCCTCCAGCAGCCTAAGGCAGCAGAAAGAGCCGGAAAAGGGAAAATAATTCCAGGCACTCAATTAGATTCACTTCATATGGGTTTCTCATCAGACTATTGCTTAGCAACAATTTGGAGCAAATGATCAATGGTGATGGGAAGAATTAGATGGTGGACACATCCCCACGAGACAGTGGGCTGAGATAGTGGATAAGGTAGCACAAGGACACTAAGCTTTGAATAAAGAAGCCATATTTGAATAAAGAAGCCATATCCATAGACATATAACCCTTGTGAGGGCTTATTCTCTTTGTTTCTAAAAAATGGATTGAGCCAGGTAATTACTGGAGGCTCATTAACCTTTGATAGTCCAAAAACTATGCTAAATACATTGTGAATTAATTTACAAGCCACCTTTTGGCCACACAACAATATACTATAAATCACTTCCATTATACTGAATTTTCCCATGGTGGACACTGAAATCTGAAATGCCAGCACTTACCCTCACCTCCAGGTTGCTTGTATGGGTTGTACTTGGGTTTTGGAGCCACTACCGGTGCAAACTTCTTGGGTGGCTGTTGTGTAGACACTGAAATACTGGGGGTCCCAAAAGAATGGGTGGTCTCCATCCGTGCAGGCACATGGCCAAGGGGCTCACCAGTGCTTTTGGGTGGCAGCCAAGATGGATGAGACATTATTGGAATCTGTAATAAAAAAGAAATAAACACAGTTTTTAAAGAAGCATGAAAGTGAAGGTGGCATACCTCACTTCACGGTTATTTCATCTTAATCCATGCCTAAGGACTTTAAATAAAGCTCTCTGGAAAAAAAAATTAAGAAAGAAATAAGAAAGGAGAAAGAATATGGAAAAAAGGAAAAACATGGGAGGAAGAGATATCATCAGAAAGAGGAGGAGGAGAGTAGAAGGGGGAGAAAGGTTGGGAGAAAAGGAGAACAAGAAGAAGACAGTCCCTCATGCTGGAATATCTCCTCTCCAGTAATTATTTATTTCAGTATCCCATACTCTTGGAAAAGTAGATATGAAAAAAAAAAAAGGTTCCTAACACGAAGAAGTTTCTTTGTAGGAAACTGGGGGGAAAGTTTCAAATTTTATAAATAATTTATTAAAACAATTATTATACCAATTAAATTGTGATACCTAAATGAGGCAATGTTACCTAAGTGTGGTTTTAAAATGTGTGGCTGGGAGGCAGAAAAACCCACTTCAATCTAATGTATGAAATATGATATGTCAAGAGCTTTGTAATGTTGTGAACAACCAATAAAAAAAAATAAAGGAATCATACAACAACTAGGAAAAAAAAAAAAAAAAGATAAGATCCTTCTTGCCTGGAGCACAGCCAGCAAGACCTCACCGGAGAACAGCCACCCAGCTGGGCCCTGAATGCTGACCAGAGGCTGAGCCTGAACAATGGCAGGAAAGTCACACAGGCAGAAAAATACCAGCACTTGGTTTCATGTGACTAGAAAAGAAAGTAACTAGCAGAACCAAAACATATGATAGAACCAAAGTGAGAAGAGATTACGTTTATCCTTCAGGCATTAAGGAAACAATAAAAGCTTATTTTGGGAAGAGGGGCATGACAGATGTCTGACAGAACCCTTTAAAATAAGTCCCCTCCAAGAGCAGTTCTGCTTCCTACCAAGAACCACTTGGAGATGGCAAGGCAAGGGACACTGGTTGCCACAATGCCTGGAACAATTACTGGCATTTGGTAGCAAACAAATAGAATATTCCCATCTGTAATGCATAGGTGAGCCCTGAACAACAAAGAGATGTCCATTAAGAGCTATGCTCAGCAGACACTATGTTGGAAATTAAGGAAAAAACCTAACTTTATGTGGGGAACAACCAGCCCAGCCTGGATGTTGCTCTGATCATATTATATACATTATATGAAAAAGGGAAAGCAAAGTCTCCTCTGCCAGGATAAGCCAGCCACTCCTCCATGCAGCCTGCCAAGGAGGGCTCTCCAAGGCTGATTACAAGAGCTCTCTAGCATGGGAGGCCCGGAAGGTAACATGTACCCACTCCCAGCCCTAACCCACCTAGTAATTTATTAATTGAACTGAATTAATTAAGAGGACTACATGATTACCTCCAGATGTCTGTAAAGAGAAAGAGCAAAGAAAATGCAGGAAGAAAAAAAGGCCTCAGCACATGACATAACAGTAGAGAAATAGGGTAGAGGAGGAGAGTTGGGACACAGTGAAGCCCTAGAATTGACATCAGTGCACACGGAGGATGACCGGCATGACGCTGAACCCTCTCCAAGGCACCTCCATTACTGAAAAACTAAGATTTAAAAGATCTTCTCTGTCAACCAGTGAAACAATATTAAAGTACTGTATGCTGTTAACTGCTATTCAAAATGGGGGGGAAGGAATGCTTCTGTTCCCGTAGAAGGTCACTGAAAATTATATGACCATCTTACCAGGAGAAAAACACCTGGAGGTAGAATTTTGCCAGGAGAGTAGGATAACATGATCCAATAAGGAATACTCTGATTGGGAATCATGACACATGTCATTGAAGCCAGTGACCACACTGGTCTTTCCCTCTGGTACAGAGCCTTTATTTTTTTTTCTATACTTCTTTATGTGCATGTATACATGCATACTTAAAAAACTGCAAGTTCCTTGAAAGCCAGGAACCATATATTTTATACAATTACTAAACCACCACTAAGGTGTAATACAAAACCAATATAAAGAAACGACCAATAAATGTCAGTTACACTCTAGAAATCTGCACATTTGGAATCATTTGAGCAAAGCAAAATTAAGTACTAAATCAAGCCCATGTGTCAAGGTTGAGAAACACTGTGTGTGTGTGTGTGTGTGTGTGTGTGTGTGTGTGTGTGTGGGTGGGTGTGTGTGTGGTATTAGGGATTGAGCCCAGGGCCTTGTACATGCTAGGCAAGTGCTCTACCACTGTATATCCCCCACCCCAAGGAATACCAGGGGTATTTTTTGTTTGTTTTTAACCAAGTGTCAGTCTTCTACCAAATGGGGACAAAAGTAACTATTTTGCTTGCAACATCTCTAATGAGAATGTAAGTGAAGATTAAATGAGATCAAAAAATGTTCAAGTTTTAATGCACCATATAATTCTGTAGTATATATTTTAATTGTACGCTTTTAAAAATAGGTTAATATCATACTTATAACTTCTCTATAAAACAAAGATGCACATATCCAGAGCAATCCTATGTTACCTATTGAATATGTCACACTGGCCTTTCCAGATATACTACAGACAAAAATAAACAGCAGCTTCCAAGAGAATATATTTTTAAAAAGAAGGTAAACCTTAATAATCAGTATGCAAACCATTACCTCCATAGTTGCTTCAATTGGCCCAGCACCAAGAATTACACTGGCACTGCCTTCGTTGAGGAGGCACTTGAGGCTCCACCTCTGCCTCAGATGTTTGCAGATGCCCTTTACAGCATCTTCTCTTGCCATTCTACTCCACATCAACAGTGAGCCAGAAACACAAGTCCCAAATGTTGTAATAAACTTTCATGACTCTGAACACTTGTTTCAGCCCTTAAGCAGAATATTAGCAATGCTGTCTCCCTCTCTTTACTTTGCTCCAGTTCAAATATCTCTGACTCTGTGATTATTTCCCTAACTTGCCCCAATAGGAATAGCTTAATCCCTTTTCTGTGCTCTTCTAGTACTTTGGGGACTTTGTTTGTTTTTTAAACTTATAATAGTCCACAAGGAAGCAATTTATTTACCAGCCTATCTTCCCCAATAAGCTGGAAACTCTTGCATAGTAGCACTATACCAGCACAATGCTTGGCCAACAAGTCATTATAAGAATATCTTATGCAGAAGAGACTGAACGAATGAATACAGTTCTCCCTCAGTCACATATACCTGTCTAGAATTTCTAGCTCTTTGCCATAGGCAATACAATCATCTCACTTCTGTATCTCTGGATTTGGTGGTATAATGGACCATGTTGTTAGAGTTCCAGATATTGAACCATCTTTGCATTCCTAGAATAAATCCTTCAAAGTCACATTTTTGGTGTTTTGAAACACTAATGAATTAACTATGTGTTTAGAATTGTTGTACATATACTTATAAGAAGATCATTTTGTAGTATTTTTACCTCTGTTCATTTTAATTTTTTATTAGGTTTTGATATGGGGATTCAATAAACTATTCTAGACAATGGAATAGGATAATAATGACCTTGGAATTACCTGATCTTTAAAGGTTCATCAAGATTCAGTGTACAGTCATTTAAATATGAGAATATGACATCTTTTTAATAACAAATAATAATCATATAACTTCTACAATGGCAGCAGTCTTTTACTTCTTCTAAGGTGATTTTTCAGTCTTAGTTTTCAGGAAATTCATCCATTTCCTGAAACAAGCTACCTCTCAGTTAAAAATGATTTCTCCTTGACTACACATCACTTAGCTACAAAGAATTACTTCCTCCATGTTCTTAAAGACATAAGCCACCCACTGTGTCCTTCATTTCATATGTGTGCCATGTTTCTACAGGTGGACAGTGGCTGACACCCTTCTGTTACACATTCATCATATGGTACTCTGCCCGATTGTGTGCCTGCATCCCCAAGTGAATTCTAGAATCCTTGACAGCAAAGGTGATTATTGTTTGCAATCCTAGAGTCTAGTACATTATAGGTACTCAATAAAAATAATCTACTAATTTGCTAAAGGAATGATTTTATATGTTTATCAGTGGAGCTCCAGATGAATCAGAATTTTACCCTTTACTTGAGTGACTTAACGTCTGTCTGAGGAAGATATATTTGTATGTGTGTAAGGAATGAGAAAGAAGAGTATCATAGAAAACATATAGGAAATGCTGGTGTTTGTTACAGGAGCTAGCACAGGCATGGCAGAGGTAATCCTTAGCCAGAACTTCTAAAACAGAGGATCTGAAAGGTAACTGGAGCAACAAGAACAATGACTGGCGATAACTATACAGGAACAAAGCAAGGCATGTCTGAGGGTCAGGGACAGATCAACTGTCCTGAAAAGAAGAAGGTAGGGAAAGAATAGTTAGGGAATGATCTGAAAGAGAAAATTAGTTTCTTTTTAAAGGTCTCATGTAAATACATATGCAGCTAGAACTTTTAACTTTGAACAGGAATCTAATGAGAGTGAAAACCGCATGCAAAAAAAAAAAAAAATTAGTCCATGTGGGATGGACTCACGGAAGTTAATAAATACAGTCATATAGATGCAGAGTTCCTCTGGCCCCAGTTCTAGTCTCAGCTATTCCAGAGTGATGTTTAATAAGGGAAGACACTCATGAGCAAATTGGTCATCTATAAAGTTCCAAACAACTGATATTCTACAGTATTTTTCTTCTCTGAAGTCTTTATGTGGCCCTTCCATTTGATAAATGGATTTAGAGAAACCTGAAAAGTTTAATGACTGGATGAACAAGCACGTCAACTGGTGCTACTCGGCAACTCAGAGAGACCCAAGGTGAACACAACAAAAAAACAGAGGTAAGAACTGGTTTTGATAGACCAAAACTTACCCTGCTCTTACTTCCTCTGGTTCTAGATGGGTTTCACTCTAGGTTTATAATCATCACGAAAGCAAGAAGTGAAAGGGAAGATCCCCATAGAGGATCTAAATATATACAACCCCATCATAAGAGAGGAAAAACAAAAGCAAT